TGACCAGCCTCTCCACATGACAGCCCAGAGCTTGGCCTATGGGTCCCAGGAGGGGAGCTCCACAAATGTACCCTCCAGATCTCCCAGGAGGGGCCCCGGGGGCGGGGGGCCCTGTGCCAGGCACCAGCGTGCAGAGGAAGCTGGACCTGCACTAGCCCAGGCCCCTGCAGATGTGCGTGAGACCAGCCTCAGGCCAGCTATGGCTCAGGATTCTCCATCCAGAGCAGGGCCCATGCACCCCGTCTGGGTTCCATGCTTCGAGAGTCATCAGTTACAAAACGGCCCCAACCCCGCAATTTTATCCATAGGAGTCAGGGCTCCATCAGAGACTCTGGTGAGTCAGAATCAACCTCATAGGTCACGATGTTCTCGTCTAAAACAGGATTGCCTTTCCCCCAATAAAATGTACTTGCCCGTTCTAATCAGTTGACTGTAAACGGGCTTGTGATTTAATTTCAGTGAAAAGATCCCGTGGTACCCAAAGGAATCTGTGATGAGCTATGTCATAAATCAGTGTTTTTATGTGAGTCGTTCTCACTAACTTAGGACTTAAGTGCTTTAAGTTGAATTTTCTTTTCTTTTGTTTGGTTAATCCTCACCCGAGGATATTTTTCCATTGATCTTTTAGAGAGAGTGGACGACAGAGGGAAAGACAGAGAAACACTGATGTGAAAGAAACACATTGATTGATTGCCTCCTGCATGCGACCCGGGGAGGACCCTGCAACCAAAGCACGTGCCCTTGAATGGAATCTAACCCAGGACCCTTTGGTCCACAGGTGACGCCCTAGACACTGAGCCAAACCAGCGCGGGCTAAGTTAAATTTTCTTAAAGGAATGAAGTTCTGACCCTTGCTACAATGTGAATGAACCTCAGAAACAGCAGGCAGCCAGTCACAAAGGGTCCTGTATTGTATGATTCCAGAGTCATTTTGGATGAGAGATCCAGGACATGCAAATCCTCAGAGACGGAAGGCAGGTGGGTGGTGGCTGGGGTTGGGGAGGGGACCAGGGGTGGCTGCCCAAGTTGGGGTGGTGGGCAGGGTTTCCTGTAACCCCTCCACCATGGACACACACACATGTGTTTTGATGACATCACTCCTCTCTGTTAAGTAGGCTTGTGCAATCTTATAGCTTCAAAGTATGGAACGCTGTAATTTCTCTGATATGACTTGGTGTTAAGATGAAAGGGCTCCCCTCAAAGAAGCTACCAGGAGTCTTCCCATGCCCATACCTGGCTCACAAGTGAGGTCCGGCCGCTCTGAGTGGAGAGGTGGGAGGCTGCCCCGCCGGCCCGCATGCTGTCTTCATCCGAGGTGTCCACGTCGGCCAGGTATTGTGAGGGGAGCTGCTCCTTCCTGATGATGCTCACCCCTGGGGAGGGACAGTGGGTTTGGATTGTTTGGGGTGAGAGACTGAAAGCCAATGGACATGTTTCCACTGCAAAAATGAGAGATTGGAGCAACTGTAGACGTGATTATATTCTTGACGTTATGGGTCTGAGACTCTTCAACCAGAGTAAGTTCCAACAAGGAACTTCAGGACACAGAGGTGGCCCGGCGCTCACCACGGCCCAGATGGTGCGAAAGCCATGGTGCCAAAGCAAATGCCCTGTGATTGTACCACACCGAGCTCCACGTGTGGGGTGTGGGTCCCAGAAGTTCCAGGAGTGGAGGTGACTTTAGGAAGTCTTTCCACGCTGGTCACCATGGGCTGTTTTTTGCCAGAACAGTGATGGGCAGATGCTCGGGGCATGGTTTACCTGGGGTGTGGCTGGAAATGCGGATCCTGGGCCCCAGGGGGGAGAGCTCACTATCTCCACCTCTTCACCAAAAGTACCGGCCCCTACAGAGCCGCCTGGAGATGGGTGAAGGCAGGGCCCTCAGGGCTGACCCTCACGGGGAGGGTACCTCGCATACAACACTGCATGGGAAAGTCACATGTGCAGGAGTCATGTCTGCACCTGCTGCGGGCAGCCGTGAGTTCTGCC